TGGCGGGAAAACAAAAAGCATCGAATCCAGTTCAGTTTTTCCTCCTCTTCACGATTCCTTTGATGAACTTTGTCAATTATTACATACAGTGTGATATTTTAATATTTCGAATAAATATAAATTTTTCCTGAAGCCGAACCTGGATTTTCACTTCGCCTCATAGGTGAATGCATTCAACGTCCCAAGTTCAAGCTCCATACCAAATTTTAGAAAAATATACTGGGTATCTCAATACTTATAGACGAATGAATAATTATTCGAAACCGATAAATCGCCCTGTATCTCCGTTATGAAAACTCTAAGACCTATCAAATATGGTATTATCAGAACCACCTTGGTGACCCCTATCTACCATTGAAATATTTCCCTTTACCTGTGAAACACCCTGTATACATAACAAAATATTGATCTATATTACAACTAAAAAAAAAAATCCTTTTTAGACAAAATTAGTTTCCCGTCAGCTACTATCTTCCGGGTTATCATCATGTTTAGGGGTCCATGGATCGTGGTAAGGGAGTATACGACCTACGTGGACAACTTCCTTTTTAGAGTTCGCCGCAGTACCTTTTTTGATTTCATAGTCCACATTGCCTATTTTTTTGTTTATAAAATATGGACCAAACCATCTGAGCTGTAGCTTGTCGCTTCGGCCCACTTTTCGAACTGGGGTGAAGACCTTCACTTTATCTCCGACGTCAAACTCCAAGTGTCGGTGTTTGTCGTCATATCTCTCCTTGTCGTTTCCCTGCCTTTTTCTGATATTTTCGACTGCGTCGCACCGCACAGCAAGGGCTCGCTCCCTTATTTCCATGGCATCTGGAGAGCTTATGCTCGACATCAGGTTAGCCTCAGTTAGGGTCCCTTGATGGAAATTGACGTTAAAGTCATCCTAACAGGGTACGGACAGATCCTCGTCTCCTCTCACTCTAAAGTGTTTGTGAAACAGTTATATAGTTCCATCCTTATTCAATTCTAGGGAAAAACACTAGATTTTTGACATTCGTTGTTTTTTAGGTTATATTGAGGTCACTGGCGTATCATACGTAATTTCCATATGGAATTCCCGATTCAACTATACCAAGATATAGATGAACAGTCCTCTAGATTTAGAGTTTACTACTCCAGCATAATCTTTGCGAGGTAGGGAACATATAAATTGTACTGAAAGCTTAATATATTTCACTAAGAGAGGCTGTTCTTAGACTGTATACTAGGGTTGACTGAATTGACTGAATGAATTCTGATTTCAAGCAAGAGTGACTAATATCACGTATATCATGTATAAAACTTTGTCTAGGACGAAAAGTAGGCTGATAAAAAGTAATACGTAAAATATGCAGGAAAATCAATAATAGAATATACTTTACCCCCATGTTATACATATGATTTTTCCGTCCCCCTCAAATTAAAAATCATTTTCGAACAATTGATTGATAAAAGTAACAAAGATGTAGGTATACGCAGAATAACTTATAGTCACGTTATTTTCACTCTTGCATCCTACATATTTTCTATTTGTGATAGAGTAATAATCATATAAACTAATGTCTTTCGCCATATCGAATCCGCCATCTTAAATTTTCCAATTTTGACGAAACGATCATCATCTCCTACCCCGGAAACCCCCAGATACCAATTTTGAATAGAATCGAATCTCCATTACAAAACTCGTCCACCATAATGGATCCGCCATCATGGATCCGCCATCATGAAAATCTCAATTTTGACGAATTAATTATAATCTCCAACCCCACGGAAATTCACATATACCAATCTTAAATAGAATCAGATCATAATTAGAAATTTCTTTCGCTATACGGGCTGATTCACGGTGGCAGCGCTGAGAATATTTCAGGTCGATAGAACACAACTAATTATTCAAGGCACCAACTTTTCAGAATAATCCTGAGTTGCGTTTTCCAGAAACGTCTAATGTGCCATCCACCATCAATCAGCCTGTATATTGGATTGGTCATCTTGAATTTTCCAAGTTTGACGAAACAATCATTATCTCCAACCCCGGAAAACGCCAGATATCTTCCAATTTTGAATAGAATCGGATCATAATTACAAAACTCGTTCGCCATATGATCTTCAACAAGTAAACACCCTGTACATACCTATTATTGAAATTTTGAATGATTTTCTGTAGCGCCCATGGATGTGACGTGACAGCAATGTCAGTGATGCCAGTAGACAAAACTAAAGTCTCTAGATCATTAAAAAAGAATGCAGCTATGATCTGTCCGTACCCTGTTAAGATGACTTTAACGTCAATTTTCATCAAGGGACCCTAGCCTCAGTGGGAAGGATTGGTTCTCTCGCGTATACTAACATAAAAGGTGAATACTTCGTCGTGTCCTGTCTAGTGGTGTTGTATGCGAAAGTGACATGAGGTATGTACTCATCCCAATCGGTTTGTTCCGTGTTTGTGTACATCGACAACATGTTTGCCAGGCTCCCATTAAATCTTTCCACCAATCCGTTGCAGCTAGGGTTGTACGCTGTGGTGTATTGGTTGACGCTTTCCATTATGATTAGAAGTTCTCTTACCAGTTGTGACATGAAAGTTTTTCCTTTGTCACTCAGCAGATGCCTTGGGGAACCATGACGGGTAATAATTTTTTCCGGAATGAATTTCGCAACTGGGCCTGCTTTACCGTTAGGTAGGGCTTCAGTCTCTGCCCATCTGGTTGCGTAGTCAGTCGCTACCACTATCATGGTTTTGCCATTCCTGCTTTTATGAAAGGGGCCTAAAAGATCTATTCCTACAAAAAAAAAAAAAAAAAAAAAAAAAAAAAAAGATCAACGCAAAACAACATTGGAAAAAAACAGCACTTACATTATTACGTCTAGCAGGGGGTTGACCAGCAGGCTTGAAGTTGGGAAGACAGCGAACATTTTGATTTTCACTAGAATGACTTGTGTCAATAATGAATAATGAATAATGAATAATGAATAATGAATAATGAATAATGAATAATGAATAATGAATAATGAATAATGAATAATGAATAATGAATAATGAATAATGAATAATGAATAATGAATAATGAATAATGAATAATGAATAATGAATAATGAATAATGAATGATTGCCTCATCGATTCGGGTACTATTTATATTCGAAATCGATGCTAGGTTCGCTATTTTCCACACGGGGAACGGTCGATAGCTATTCGATACCGCTTACCTAGGTATTATCGCCGCGGTAAGCGATTTCTTTGCAAATTATAAAGGAAATGATGTCTATGAACTCCGCTGGCCTGATCGAACTGCAATGTACTGAATGTTTTAACTTGGAAAAGTTAATTAATGATAGATGATCTTGAAACGAACGAGAGTTTGGGTGGTGTTAATTCCTAGCCATTTATACTTCTTGACAGTATACTTGTGTAAACATCGCGATAAAGGAGTCTTCCTTCATCGAGCAGATTAGCCATTGTTTCCATTGAGATAGCTTGCGTCCTTTGCCTGTAATTGCTTCACTTCTTTCAGCATAAATTGCTATTTCGTGAGTATATGCTTCAGGCGAACTGCAAATCAACTACAGACGCATTACTGATATGCGCATCAGCGACACACCTATGTGTCGCCCCGCCCATCAACGATAATTCTGGTTATACCCCGGCGCGACCCACCGGTAGATCGCTATTAAATTATCAAGAAAAACTATTGGAGATTCATTATTTTTGCATCTAATGTGCTTTGTCACTCAAAAAAATTATATGTTCTATAAATATGGTAAAGTCGTTTTGAGAAAGAAACAACAATTACACGCCCGCCATTCACGTTCAATTCTGTATAAGGACCCCGGCATCAACGTGATAATATGAATTATCAAATTTTTCGTCATGATCAACATTCCGTTGTCGACTATATCACGATCATGTTGATTCACAGTGATATTCAAATAAAATGATTCGATCGATACACGATCGGCAACAGCACGTCGATCACGATCATTCAATTAAATTATTGAAGAATGATCAGCAGTTTCCAGGTTATGATGAAACTGATGATTCAATACAATTAAACTTTCATCATTGTCAAATTCAAAAATTTCACTAGTTTCACTCGAATCGGTAGAAAGATTAGATTGGATATGACGAATACTATTATTCGTAGGAATACTACTTTCACTACATGTATTTGTCAATTCAATTTCACCTTCTAAGTTTCCGAGTAAAATTATCAAATTTTTATCCAAAATTTCATCTTTTCCATTTTCATCCATTTTATTCGGGATTGGTACATACTAAAAAAAAAGGGAGGAACAATTATTATTTTTCTCTATAAAAAATAAATATATTTTCATTTTTGGAGAAATATAAATTCAATCGATAATCACAGTATTATATGAATATATAAAAAATTCATTCTATATAATTATAATTTATATCCTGGTCCGAACGCCTTCCTGATCCCTTTCAGTTGGGCAAACGCTCATCAGCCGCGAGTCTGCTGATGAACGGTGCTGCACCTACCCCACAAATGGGCGAGACACGGTATACTTCCTTTGTATGCGTCCGGTCGCTCCTTCCTACGTAGTCTACTTTATCTCGTGTTGGACGGCGCTTTAAACTCGACTCCCAAATGCTATGCAGACTTTCGTCGCGGTGACATTGGTCCTTCGTCCCATAAGATGATGGGCGATTCTTTGATGACCTGAGCTTTTACCGATATAGGATCTTCGTAAACGACACCGTCTACTGACATTAGAAAACGAAAACTTGTACTCCCTCGTACATTTGTAGCAACGTGCACAAATAGAATCGATTCTGATCAATCGGAGAAAATTGTACCAAGCATTCGATGAGTTTGCAATTTCTTTTGCGACGTTGCCACATCATTCTATTCAAATTCCAAGGATAATGTTCTGGAATTTGGTAATATTTCAGTAATATCGCAGATGGATCAGAACGACTCAATTTGAAATAAGCTACTAATATTGTGGGACCATCAATTCTCTCCAAAAACTGCTCCCCTGTTACATCGAGACCTTTGTCAAATATGATTTGATGATCGCTTTCTTCGTGGATCGGTAGAACTTTTACCATGTGGGATCTATCACTGATGTTATATTCGAATAATCGCCCACAGGCCTCCATTGAATTGACGTATCGGTAATTCTGATAATTATCGATTTCATTCCAATCAACAACATTACGTTGATGGTCACGATTGTCATTATCATTCGCACCGATGGCGGTAAAATTACCCATAACGGCATTCTCTTCTCGAAGGGAGACGTTATCATCTGATTTAGCATGCTGTACAGATATAAAGTCAGGTCTCTTCTCTGAATACTTGTACAAATACTTCATCAACTCTGAACTTCCACACAGTTCGACGTTTAAATGAAAATCGTATTTGATCGACAATAATTTGTTGTATGGAATGACATCGCGATTATCGATTAGGGGTCCACCCAAAACTGCCACCTGTCCATCATCGGGCCGCTTATACTCGTGTTGACCGAGACCATTCTGGTTGCCCCGTATGTCTGTTGTCCGAAATTCTTTCTGGAAAAATTTCTTGCAATGTTCATTCATCATCACGAGGCAGTGGGACCTCGACTGCCGCAAGGTTTGTAGATCATTTGATGTAATATGATGTCATACAAACGGGACTCCGGATCTGTATCTGGTAACTCGTCGCACACAGCAGCTTCAGTATCCAATTTATCCTCGGGTCTAAGTGTTGAGAGGACTTGAGCATGTGGCAAACCTCGCTTCTGGAATTCCACTGTGTGAATAGATTTGAGTGGAACTCCAAAATATTGTTTGGCGGTGATGTCGTCTATAAATTCTAGCAATTTGGTGTGGAATACTCGACACATCAATTCAGGCCTATTTTCCCATATTTGATATAATTTGAGATTATTTTTAATTTTTGGCCAACCAGGATTGCACGCAAACGTGATAAACAAATCAGGTTTACCGTGCCGCGCAACCATAGTCATGGCATCGAGATATTTGCCAATAAACGTAGACTGCTGGTACTGGTACTGGTGGGGGACGTTTCCACGTCAGCAACTAGTCCCCAATGGGACCTTTTTGCAAACCCCAAGTGTTTTCAATGACTGATGTGGTTCGCTCAAGAGAGCTGGCTAACATCCTTTTCAGGCACCGCCAATCAGCTCTCTTTTCAGAGTTTTTCAGCTGTGTTTTGTAGGCTAGTAATGTACTCACTACCATATGCGCAGTGCTAACTATCATCGTTAACCCCCGAGACCGAGGTCTACTTAAGCAGCTGGCCCGCTCTCACGCTCAGCTGGTAGTTTTCCACACCCACCTACATACACCGTCCTACTTCTTCTCTGATGCTCACAACCACATCATCATATCTTTCTGCGTGTTCTGTGTAGGCTTTGTTACTAACTCCATGCGCCACTTTAGGAGCAGCACTGTTAATTGGAACGCAACAGTGAATCGTGCAGGACTATCCCCAGCCGATGCTCCGAAACTTCACAATATTCAATTCGTAAATATTGTAAAGTTTCGGAGCATCGGCTGAGGATAGTCCTGCACGATTCGCTGTGCAGGACTATCGCCAGCCGATGCTCCGAAACTTTACAATATTTACGAATTGAATATTAACGTAGAAGGTGAAGTAGCTATTATACTGACACGTTTATTTTCTCTTCTAGCTCTATTTTGATGCACTTTTTCAAATGATTTATATGAAGACGATCTCAATTGTTTTTGATTTTGGCGATAATACGATAAATCAATTGCTTCTACACGGATCTAAGCATCGACGCATTGTTGGAATCATTTTCTTGCATGATGCAGAGCAATGAACTCGTTTTGCGCCCTAGACGTTTCATGATTCGCATCGACAATACCATTATCATCGATGATGTTCGAATTGGTTTGCCTCCTTGAACGAATTATCAAACGATGTTTATAAAATTGTCCCAAAGTCACGTACATCCGTTTTTTGCGATTCGGTAGATCGTATCCTTGGATATTTTGAATGGTAAATTCTTCTTGATCGTCATCTACGTTGTCCACCACATTTCCAAGTATTGGAATACCGTGAAATGGGTTGGCTATGATAAGTTTCATTATATTTCATGTCATTGATACGTCATTACTGGAGAAATCAATAAGGAAAAAATTGATTGAATATTGTAGCTATCGTTCTGAAGCTATTGTGTAGTTGTCATCTCGTAGTTTAGATTTGTTCCGCAAAAGAAAAACTCATAATGTCCAATCAAAGCTATACCCAATTTGGCATAACTTTGATATACCTTCCAAAATACATTGTCATCAATCTTAGTTGAAAACTACTTATCAATTTCCCCCTTGTCAGCTTTCATCTAGTTTTTTTTTTCAAATCAATTTTCATCTCATATGGATGACTTTGATATTTCATTGAGTAGTATAGTCTTATTAAAGTCACCCGTTTGTGTGAGGTATTTACATTTTCAGACTATAACTTTTCGCAACAATCGACCAATATCGTTATACATTGTTCATTTCATGCTATTTTTGATGATGTGGGATTGGCGGTGATGAAATAGGTAAACATGTAGAAATAATTGTTTATTCATGAAAAAATAAATGGGTAACATTAAGAAAACTCTGATAATTTCAGAAGAAATACAAAAACAAAGCAGACAATGCGTAGGTAGGTAACTTCTCACGTTTAAAAGACGTCGATGCTCTTGGAGGAAACATGTTGTGTTCCGGGGCCTCTAAGATGTTTGATATTAAGCAAAGGCTTAGACAAAATCGCCAAAATATCATCGAGGGTTGCCGTGAACAGATCATTCTCGACCTCCACAAACGTTTTTTCAGTAGCATCCAACGATTTTAGTACCAGTTAATTATATTCGTCGTCCGGCAAGACATCTTGAACGATGGCTTCGTATCGATTACTGACAGACTTTCTTTCACCGGACATAACGCGGACTAGAACAAATTCACCAGATGTAATATCCGCATCAGCTACCTCGTACCCCACCTCTTCGTCAACTTCTTCATGTGCCATTTCCTGTTCAGAATGATCTGCGCTTGAATCAGAAACCTCGTCTGATTCATGTTGCGATTCATCTGATGATCTGTTGCCCGATACGCTCCTTCCTGGGACGACAGTTGAACGACTTATCTTTTTCGGTGGTCCCCTACTAGGGGTATTAGCGTATCGTTTTTCTTTCGAGAACGTGACCAAAGAATCTTAGTGGTCGCCTAAGTGGAACTGCTCCTGTTGATTTTCGTCATTGTTGTCATGTGGATTTTCATCCAATATTCTGTTTCGATTTGCAGGAAATATTCCTGTGGCTTTAAACCCACTTATTAGATCTTTTTTACTGCGTCTTCGTTTTTACCTGCTTCATTCATCACAATCAGTGCGTTCTTGAATACCTAGCTTTGGAAACTTATTTCTTCAGTGACGGTGATTTTGCATTTTTCATTTTCCAATTGAGTAATTCTGACCGCCAAGCCGTCTTCAATGGACGAAAGAACGACACATCTAGCCGTTGTGTGAGATGGGTTGAGTTTGGTGATAAGCAAACAAATTGAATGTTGTGTTGTTGACAAAGCTGCAAAACTTCGTTGGTGAAGTGAGAACTCAAGTTGTCGCCTATCGAAACTTTTTCACCATCAAGACGTATTGCATGAGATAAAAAGGAAGTTTTGAACCAATCTGAAGCCAGTTGCATCTATCCACCTACTTTTTGTTCTGTTGTAGCGAGACTGCAACATCGCTCTGGACAACATGGATGTCCTCTGATGCCATTTTCCGTTCAGCATCGGACTTATGAATAATGTAAGGGGGGCAAGACACCCGAGGCCGAACCGCAGAACATAACAGATACAGCAGATTTACTATGATTAATTACATTTTCAGGATACTTTTTGCCCCTTTCATACAACAAACGTTTTTTGCCGGAATCATCAGACATATTTGTCCCATCATAATTAGAAAGGTTGGCAGGCGGTACATTAGCAATGGTTGTTTCCAAATTTGTGAAATACTCAGTGATTGTTTCTTTGCTGACGGCAGTCCGAGCACGTTTGATGTTTGAAGCCAAACGCTGAGTGAGGTTATTTCGATGTCTCTGTAGGAGTGAGTCAGTCTCGCCCAGGCATGTTGTTCAACAACATTCCGACCTTCCCGATCCAAGTATGATTTGGTAACCATTTGTAAGTCTTGCATGTTGAGAGGGAATTCCCTTTCGCCACAAGTGATTGCTGCCTGAATTATAGCCTCTTCTCCGAATGGTTCGAATACTGTCTGCCATGCATGTCTGCCTCCATGCAAGCCTTTGAATTTGTTATATAGGGTTCCATAGGCGATCTGATACTGCTAAGAGGCTTTACTGATAGACCACCCTTCCTCAGTAACTTTCGAGAGCGCTTGCTCTAATTTTTCAGGTCGATAATTTTTATAATTCCGTGCGCCAATTTTCTTCCGGTATTGTCGACTCATTATGGAAACTATCTGAAATTGTAAAGAATCATTTTTCTCTTCAAATATTGATTGAGAAGAAATAATGAACTTATATGTCGTACCATGGAGTGACATTGATACATGAGGGTGACTTTGATAACTTTATCAATGTCACCCCGAAACCATCATCAAAGTGACCCCATCTCGATAAATATTATTTTAAAATGTTTGCTTCGTGATTCAGGCTTGCCGGTCAATTGTCAGGTTATGTGATATACAAACAACATTTATCACATAAAATGCATTGAATCTTATCATAATCGCGAAAGAAGGATGATGTTATATTCAGACACAAATAATGACCTAAAAAACTTTTCTAAATACATTGAATAGGGCAACGTCAGTGACGTAAGCTGTCATTTGTCGAACAGCTGATGGGGGGACAAACAAAGCATTTTTACATAAGAGTACATGTGTTGTTAACAGTGATTTTTGGCGAAAAACAACAATTTGGGTGATTTTTTTTTAAACATTTCGATTCTGTGTTCATTGTGAATATTGTGAAGTAAGTGCACAGATGTGTAAAGTGTTTTAAACATGGAATATCCATTTTGAAGATATGTGTTTATGGAGGATCTGACATATTTATTTTTCAGTTTTGATTAAAGTACTATGAAGTTTTGTGCGGTTGTGGGTTGTGCAAAACGGTCTAATCGAGACGATGTGAAATTTTATCGATTTCCTTCAATCCGTCAAGGCAGCGGAAGGTAGAACCTTCAAGAGTGAAGAGACGTGCCAGTTTGATTGCCTCTCATAGGGATGATTTTCAAGATTCCAAAGTTGAAAATTCGTTCATATGCTCAGCACACTTTATAACAGGTAATAAACTGTCCAGAACATAATTATCACATGTATATGGAAAACATTTTTCAGGTAGACCATCTGATGATCCCAAACATCCAGATTATGTGCCCTCCCAAAATATGGGATACAAAACCATTGCTGGGGAGTTCCCAGAATGCAAGGTTCACTAGGGCTATGAACAGGAGTAAGGTTGTATCTGAAGTGGAACCAATAACTGTGAGATATAATATGAGACAGCTTTAGTTTTGCTTTCTTTCTTTCAGATTTTTTTTTAACTTTGCATTTCCATTATTATTTTGCAGATTTCGTAAAGGTCAACATTTGATGAATATTTTTTTTTTTTTAATGTTATTTTGTTATTAAATTGTAGACAGCACTGAATCAGATTCTGACAAAGAAAATAACCCACAATCAGAGGACAGAGATAGAGACCATGATAAGTCAACCCAAACTGATATTGATTTGAAAGGTTTGAAAGATGAATTGTTGAACATACATAAAAAACTGTATGAATATAGAGAATCTGTTGATAAGTTGTCATTTAATGAAAATTCCTTGATTGGAAATAATAAG